TTTGCCGTTTTTCAGTCATTGTATTACAAATGGGAAATTGATAATCAGTTTGATCATCTGATTATCAATTTCCCGTTTGTAATGCAAAATGACTGAAAAACGGCAAACTTCGCAAGGCTATATTATCCGCATTTTACAACATTTCGCAACGAAACTTCGGAATATTACTAATTTTGTGATGCTCTTTCAAGCTGTGATGAAATTTTGGTCCAAACATGTCTAGATCAAAATTTCACTCAAAAGGGGAAAGGTCTATTGAGATTGTCATGTAGTATTTTTACTGAAGAAATACAATTATTTGTTGTTGTTGTTGTTGTGAGTCCATATCCGTAATTCTGTAGCTTTTTAAGCATTTTTGCAACATTTGAAAAAATCACTATCCGTCCTTCGTACAATCAGCCCCAGTAAAAACGCATAGTACAATTCAGTAAAATCAGTACCGGAAGAATATAATGCAGTACAGAGCAATAGTTCTGTTCAGTACAGTACATTATACTATAATACACTGTATTGTGTAATGGCTGATACACTATCAAAATAATATTGTATCGGTAACTTCTAAGTTTTGAAGGATTTGTAAGAATTTTTTGAAGGAACTGATTCAATGCTAATGGACCATTTGCATTATAGACTAAATTTCGGTCTAGACAAAAATTTCATCACAGCTTGAAAGAGCATCACAAAACTAGTTTCGTTGCAAAATGTTGTAAAATGCGGATAATATAGCCTTGCGAAGTTTGCCGTTTTTCAGTCATTTTGTATAACGCACGGGAAATTGACAGCCCAATCGGGTGTTGGGGCATCAATTTCCCGTTTGTAATACAAAATGACTGAAAATGGCAAATTTCGCATGGCTATATTATCCGCATTTTACAACATTTCGCAACGAAACTTTGGAATATTACTAATTTTGTGATGCTCTTTCAAGCTGTGATGAAATTTTTGTCCACACCAAAATTTAGTCTATAATGCAAATGGTCCATTATGAAGACAGTTCCCTCAAAAA